TGAAACTAATGTTAAAATCTATTAAACAACTGAACAATGTACAATAATTAACAGCTTCAATCAGCAAGGTTTGATATACATACATTAAAAATGTAAGTTTGATCCGGTCTGAAAACAATTAGCAAATTTGGCAAATCAGGAAAAAAGAAAAAGGAGAAACCCAATTTTTTGAACATGGCAGGAACCTGTTTGCAAGATTATAATGTAAAAATGGTTTCCACATTGAATTAAATTCTAACTAGATCTGTTTTTAAACTATGAAGTTTGTTTTGATAACCAGTGCATACTCCCATAACTTAATTTGCTATTTTTCTATGGATGGAAATATTCATGTTTTCACGTACAAGCTGTTAACCATCTACAAAACCAGTATTGTATTTTGTAGGAATATAAGGTTTAGTAATATTTAGTAAAAAGTTAACTATTAGGTGCAAAAGACCAGATCCGTATATGAAGGTTCAGTTAAGCTAATTTATTGCTAAAAGCCTGTGCACAGGAATCTTAACTAACCATCAGCACCTAGTTAGAGTTAAATAAAGATCAATAGCACTGAAGGGTGTTGGACTTAATTCACTTGTGGCTACATAGGGATTCTAGGCTGATCCCGCATTTCGCTCTGCCTCCAGATTCTGTCATTCCATCACCTACAATAACTAAGAACCGATACTACCTTTAATATCTTTCATTTGATTATTAATTATTTTGTAGAATTGTTGTACCACACAACACTGTCACCAGTGAGACAGGGTTATTTCATTTTTAGCAGTTTTTAGAAAATAAATGGTCTCTTTGGCCAATTCCTACTGCAGCAATACCATCAGTAGAAAATTTTCGCTAAGTGTCATATTAACTGTAAATTTGATATTTTTCTTGATATTGATATTTCCCCTCATTGAATGTCAATTTTTCTAGTCAGATTTTGCATACAGTTGATTATAAATCCTTCACTTGTTAAATTTCTGAATCATGCTTCAGTAATAATCTGAATTTTATATGAATAAGTTTTTTTTTAAAATTTGGTGAAATCTCTAAGTGTTCCACTTTGTTTCTGTAATTTCTTTAGGACTGCAGTATACAGATGGTCCTTGACTTATGACCATAATTGAGCCCAAAATTTATGTTGCGAAATGAGACATTTGTTAAGTGAGTTTTGCCCCATTTTACGACTTTCCTTGCCACAGTCGTTAAGTGAATCATTCCAGTTGTTAAGTTGGTAACCCAGTTGTTAAGTGAATCTGGCTTCCCCATTGACTTTGCTTGTCAGAAGGTTGCAAAAGGTGATCACATGACCCAGGGACACTGCAACTGTTCATAAATAGGAACCAGCAGTACAGGTGGTCCTTGACTTACAACAGTTCGTTTTGTGATTGTTCAAAGTTACAACGATGCTGAAAAAAGTGACTTATGACCGTTTTTGTGGCTTATGACTGTTGTAGCATTCCCATTGTCCCAATTTATTTTCTAAAAACTGTTAAAAATAAAACAATCACATCCCATGATGTAACTACAAAAACCAGTGAGGTGGGTTTCTGGCCATGCTGATGAGGCAATCTAGGAGGATTTCTTCTTTATTACTAATTAAATCATATACATCTTTATATGAAGTATTATATCTTCACTGGTCATTTTCTTGGTACATTGTTCATAAAGATATTTAGCATTGAAACAAGAGATGATAAACCTGGACTATTATTTTTCTAGTCCATATTTATCAGATAATTTTGGAAAGCTACTAATTATTGAATATCCTTTATAGATATAACTGCTTTTCTATTTATATCATACCCAAGATATTTGTGCAGATTATCTGGAAGTTCATAGAAACAATCTGACCGAAAATGTTATACTTGAATTTATAATTGAGAGTTAAGCAACAAGCACAATAAAATTTGGTCCTGTCAGCCCAACTTGATCTTTTAGTTTTTACAAACTTAATCTTACCTGACATGTTTTATTATTAGACCATATAAAATTAGCTTATTTTTTTCCCCAACTGTTTGTCTTCAATTCTTACTGGAATAATTTGAAACAAAAATTAAGTCTTGGTAAAATGTTCATTTTTACTGCTGCAATTTTTCCAGACAGGACAATTTCAATTTTCTCTATCTTAAAATGTCTACCATTTTACTTTTCTAAGTCTGGGAATAATTGTTCTTGATTAAGCCTTTATTATTTTTTGTAAAATACCCAAATTCATTCATTCTAAGCCATTCTATGTTAAAAACACTGTTTTTCATTATCAGATAGAGGTTCAGATGACATTCATATGTCATATTTTGAGTTTTGTTATTAAATTGATATTGAGATAATGAATTATGCTGCTGTGTTTATTCTATAATTAGTTCTAATGAGTCCTTTGGGCAGGTAGCATATTTCTGCATATTTTTGTAAATGGTTCTTGATTGGATAATTTAATTCTTGAAATTTTATTTCCTGCCATATTTTCTTTGCCAATAGTTCTAATGTCAGTAAAAATCAGGAAGGAGAGGACATCTTGAATGTTCCCTTCATTATAATACATTTTTGTGATAAGCCCAATTACTATTTACCAAGTAAATGGGAGATTATTTTACCCTTAGACTGTTTTTGTCATTACACAGATTTAAAACTAAGTGCTGTATTGTCAAGAATAAGATTAAGTGTATTATATAGCATGAGAAATATGAATAAAGAATAAAGCTAAGCCAAAAGAGCCCCATACCCAGAAAAACTTTGAATAAAATGGATTCTATTGTGCCATTCAGAAATGTAGATATATGCAGATCTTTTCTGTCAAGATATGAGAGGAACTGTCAGAAATATTAGGTAGAGCTTTGCAATCAAGTATGGCTTCCTATAGACTCTTCAATACGGAAAGCATTCACAAGGATTTCCCTCCACCCCATAAGATCACCTTTGGACAATGGCCATAATATCGGATCTTGCACAGTTGGTCTAGTCAGACATAATTTCCACTAGCTGGCTTCCTACATTTCATTAGCTTTAAACTGTGTCTAACTGTAATTATTGGCTTCAGATATTATATTAAGTTAAAGGCATGCTATGGGTTAGTGTGAAACTAACCAACTGTGATTTCCTTAATGTAGCAGCACTAACGAAAGAGTAATTTAATGAAGTATGAAGCCACTAGTTGTGTTAATGCAACTCCCGAAGCATAATTGTATAATCCTACTAAGGCAAATCTCCTTTAATTTGACCTGGTGATTTCATGGTCATATCCACATAGATTTCTGGCCAGAAGAATAGAAGTGATTGGCCATTAGCTTTCTCCAGGATTTTTTGCTTTGTGGTTTGTGTTCATTTTTTAATCCAGTTTACAACCATATGATTTCCTGATGGTCACGTGTCTTAGTAATATCCTGATCTTACTTAATTTCTTGTGATCAGCTAATGGTCCCTGGAAGCTGCTACCCAGGTGGTTGTAATTAGGGTAGATTTAATGTCTTACAGTTGAGTAGGTTTACACAGCATAATAGCAACCATAGCATATTGTAATACATTATATGAACACAGGCATTGGCTCTATCTGCATAATATACAAAGCTATAACTTTCAGATAATTAGTGTAAACTGTCATATTGCTCCCTGTTGTGCATGTCTTGGTGTTTCTAGACAAGGTGGCAAAAAGGTTTTGATCCATGTAGTGCCATACATTGCAAAAAGTCAGGTAAAGAGCTTCATGCAGCTGATAGTAGTATGAAGGGCTTTGTCACTGAACTTTACAATGAAATGCATTGTGTGAACATAGCCATGGTTAACTTGCAGTTGGATAGCTAAGGTCTCAGTGTATTATACAAATTAGGTTAATATAGTCCATCAAGTGAACAAACACAACTGTTACGTTCAAAACAGTGTCTTCTCTGGATACTGTGCATCTAGTATATTTTCAGTTGATTTCTACTTTTAGTTCAGTATTGCTGCCTATTAAAAAGCTGGTATAAATTTCCTTCAAGAATTTAAGAGGGACCTTGAATTATGGAAGTGCCCAGTGGAGACTAAGCGTGCTTGATAGCCACTGTTTTTTTTAAAAAGAAGAGGTGAAATTTAACTGGTGGCAAATAGTGAGTGACCAGTGAAAAGGAAGGTGTGGTAAGCCAGCCAACAAAGAATTCCTGGAGCATAGAAAGGAGACAAGGGGAAAATGCTAGAGTTGTCCTGTTGATTCAGTTTCATGATCCTTAAAGAAATGAAGAGTAAAAATGGGTAAAAATATGCAGAGATACCTTGCTGTTGTAAAGAGTAGAGCTTAAAAAAACCTTGCAAAAGTCACACTTTGCCAGACAGCAAGTTTCTAAGGGACATTTATCTTTTACTTTTATCCTTTCTCTCTCCCCACCACTTAGGTGCAGAAAAGGGATAGGTTTGGCTAAGCTCTTGGTTCATCTGGTGCATATGATCCCTCTTGTAAGTGAACCTAAAAATGCTTTGTTTAGGTTTTGGCTGTTGGCTGATGTGACAGTTCATGCAAATAGAAACAACCAAGATTGGCAAGAGCTCTACAAAGGGATTTACTCTTGAGTTGTCATTTAGCATCAAATACTTTTGAAGATAGCTTTGCAAATGTGCATTCTATAGTAGCTCATTTGCTCTGTATGGTAGTTTGGAAGGGACTGTGGCTGAGAGGCATCTTATGCTCATGAGGTGTAGTTCTTCTGATCAGTATACCATCCTTAAATTTCTTACAAAATTAAAGCAGCTCACTTCTATTCCAATATAGGGAGATAGAACCTAGAGGTTTCTCCCCAAAATGGCTGCTAAGCAGCAGCAGCATATGAGTGCCAGTGTGGTGAACTGGTTTGAGTGCTTAGGACCAAGCAAAATTCAAATTCTCCACTTAATCATAAAGATCACTGATGACTTTGAAGCACTCATTCCCCCTTAGTTAAGGCTCTCTTGTTTTAAGGAGAGAGTCATGTGTCTGCAGCCTCATGTTTTGGGAAAGAGCTGAGAACGTGTAATTAAAAAAAATGGCAGACAAATGGAGATACTTTTGCCCATATTTTATTTTCAGCTTTATTAAAACATTTTGATAAAACACATTTTTAAAAAAATTGAAACATTTAAAAGGATTGTCTTGAATGTTTAAAATAATTTGTCCTGATTTCTTCTTCCAATGGGATCTTCATGATAAAATCTGGAATAACATTAGGAGTCAGTTAATTTTTAATAATCTCAGAATGGCTCATACTAGTCCCCCCAAACTGCTTACACTCTGTCAACATTGATAAAGGTCCAAAAACGGGAGGGGAGGGGGAGAAACTGCTAATTATATTGCTTAACACATATTGGTTTTGAGATGTGAAAAAAATCCTGCCCCCAACACTAATATTAGTTTATCTGGACAAGAAATCTTAAGCTAGCCTTTCCTAGCATGGCCTCTAATCCCATTTACTGTTCATTTTCCTGTATTATAGGCAAAAAAACAAAACAAAAAACAAAAAAAGGTTTCCTTACCCTCATTTTCGCTATTCACTTTGACTACATTGGCACCATTTCAAATAGGAAAAAATGTCTAGCTTCAGGACTTTGCTAACTAATTCAGTTCTAGCTTATTCAATGAGCTATCACTAAGGTGATATGAACATAACTGTGTAGCAGCTCAGATATAATAGGAAAACTTTATAACCTCTCACCCCATTTAACCTCTAGTATGGGCAGTTTTTGGCTGGTCTCAATTCACATCGTACTCTGTGAGTCAATTTCTTGTGGTACCAACCTTATTGGCTCCCAATCTTTTTTTTATCTAAAAAAAATGAGCTTTTTTTGTTGCTTTTGTTGTAATTAAATTAGATGGCCTTTGTAATGGCCAAACATTTTTTAAAGTGCCATCTCCCAAGAAAAATAGCTTTTACAATTACTCATTAGCAATGAAACTTGTTTGCTTCTGTGGATATGTAGGCCTTAAACAATCTGCGCCTCAGTCTATCTCAAGGAAACCATGGTTTATAAATCACACTGGATTGATTGGTTCATCTCAAGCTAAAAATTAGAAATTCTATAATAGATTATTTAATTCTATAATGCATTACCTTTGTAGTTGTAGATTCTACTTCTTCTGTTCAGAATAGCTATCAGGAAGAAAAATATGAACATCAGTAATTATACATGTCTTAAATTAGCCTCTACTAATATTCCAAGAATTTTTCTTTTTCTAATATTAAAAAAAAAATCAAATGGACTTTAAAAAGTTTTCCAAATTAACAGCAGAGCAGCTTTCATTCATGCAAAAAGGGCTGGAAGGCTACAGTGCTGGTTTCCATGCTTCAGTTTGTAGGGAAGATTGGATATGTAATTCCTTCTTCCAAAATAGAATTGAGTCTAGTGCAATTGATACACTATTCTATGAAGAATTCCCTACCAGAGTCAACAGAAAAAAAATACTATCTAGAAATTGCCAGAAGGTATATTTGACATGCCACAGATATGTTTGGTAACGTTTAGATGCATTTGATAACTTTGTTATAAACAAATTCTTCAAAACCACAACTACCCAAAGGAGACTGATGTCTGCTAATACTGACTCTTGCCTTGATTAACATGCTTCCATTACAGTGCATTCTATATGCAGTTTCATTTGTAGACAACTTGGAGACTGCATGTATGTTGTCTAAGCAAAAACATTGTTAGTATGCAATTTTCACCCATTGTAGTACTGTACTATGTTTACTCTCCCTCCATCCCCCATAATATGGCTTTTTATTACAAAGCTCTTCTACACCATAAAACAGAGGCCCCTTTGACATAAAAAAGGTGATTGTCCCAGATTTAAGAAATGCTATCGACTTCATGTCATCTGTGAAACCATTTTGATGCTGAATTAACATGTGAAATACAGGCAAAGCAGTTATTCCGTTGACTCACCTCTTCCCAAAAACAAAAAGAGGAGCAGGAGATTTATCAGCATCTTTAAAAAAGAACAGTAGTAAACAAGTATTAGAGGCTGTTTGCATCATTACATAGCTGGGAAGCTGTTTTTCGGTTTTTGTAAGAAGCGCTCAAGCAGATAAGACGTGAACTATGTACTCTTGTGGGATAGTTGTGCTTAATAACAGTGTTAAACAGAATTATCTTATTTTACCAAAGCATCAAAAGCATTCTAGATGCAAATACAAAAATATTATTCAAATCCTTTCCGTTGGTTCAGAATCTAAGAATGGGGACAGCCTAAGCAAAAATAAAAGGAAAGAAGGAAAGAAAGAAAATATAATACAATTCAAGTACCGCTGCCTGAATCAAGCTCCTGTCAGGAGAAAGATGGCAGTGGAGTTATTTGATCAGTTTCACTAAGTCTCAGATCTACTTAAACCCTTTCTTAAACCATTGTTCTTGTATCTTCGATGAATGAACTTGCTGTTCTTATCATCATCTAGGGCAGCATACCGTTTTGAAAATTTTTCTCATCAAAGGCTGTTAAGGACAATACTAAACTTCATAGAGCTTCTCAGACAAACAAATAAAGGATGCCCTCAGTCTTCATATACTCTAAATCTCAATTTGTTCTCAGTGGTTGCAATTCAAATGTGGTAAAAGTCCTCTTTGGCCTAAATCGGCAGGAACACATAACATTTTTTGAGAAAGAGATCTGCTTCCTTAATCTTTTATAAGCTGGGGATTTTTAAGAGGGAAGGAGTTACTGCTTTGCTGTAAAAAAAGATAATTGCATTCAGTTCAATTATAATATGTTTCAATTTGGAAAATATGTGTATGGTGCTGCATTCTGGAAATAAAAGCTCACCAGCCTCCCAGTCTTCCTGCGAAGGTGGGCTTTGCCGGCCAGTTACCTCTTTGATTCCCATGTTTAGACTGGTAGCCCCTGCAAGCAAAATGTTCAGAAAGAGTTATGAACAATGATACAGATATCTAACAGCTATAAACAGTTACATGCAGTGATATTTAGTTCCAGGGCTGGATGTATCTCTTTAAGACGTTAGATCTCATGTTTGTGAATTCACGTAATGAGATACTGAAATTCAAAGCAACTTTGCTGCAAGGCAGAGCAAAGGGCAAGAGCCTTGTCTCTGGTAACCCATCAGATCTGATAACCAGTAGCTTTATTAGCTTTTAAACAAGCTCTTGAAATACATAATTTTGCATAGGCTTTAAACCGCAGACTACAGTGGTTAATTTTAATGATTTTAAATTTGCTTTGCTTGCTTTTAGTGTCATTAAATGTTTTTAATGTCAATTTTAAATGCATGTTTCATTTTCAACTGCCAGGAGACTTTGGTAGCTGCTCTATCAAGCTAAATGAATGAATTTTTTTTTTTAAAAAAGGGTCATTTTGTGAGAAAGAGCTTGCCATGGCATAAAATATGAAAAGTAATGAAAGCTCTCCATTGTTTCAGGTGAGATCCCTTCTTAAATACATAAACATTTTTTGATTATTTGCTGAGAGAAGAACGGGGAACAGAAGAACAGCTTCTACTTTGTGCAACAGACAATTTCAGACACGATCTAAATCAGGCAGTCAATATGGGAGCTGGACCATGAAATCTTCTTTCAGGATCAAAGGTTCAGTACTGCCCGCTTTATTGCTTCATGTCCAAGTTTAAATGCAGGGGGGAAAGTATGTTAATTGCATGTCTTTTTTTACTTCTGTTTGGAGAAACAAAGCATAAAATGTTCCTAAATTTCATTGCATAAAATCAAAGAACAGAGGGGAATCACACCCTTTTCCAGAAGGTTCCTGTACTTACTCTACTTCCTAACAGTGTATTTTGTATTCTTTGCCCAGGAAAATATACATAGTGGTCACGTTTCTAAGTTTTAAAAGTTCATTGAACCTCCCATGTTTCCTGGTAGATTCCCATACAACACCAAGATTTATATGTGGATATTGTAATCTTCCTTCACTTATTGACTGCACTGAATGTCAGTCATGATAGCTTTTCGCTTTGATCTCCTTGCACACAGTATCTAATTTTTTAAAAAGAATTAGCTCACAATCCTTTTTATACCCTTCTTGCGCACTACAAATTCATTTCTTATCTTTGCACCTTATTTTTCAACCATTTGAATATTCAGTATGTGCTTTAGGCAGCACATTTTCCGGGGCTGAAATATTTGGGGATGCTGATTTCTGTAGACAGCATAACCTCAATTCACAAATTTTGTTAACAGCATAATCTATTACACAATGCAAGAGTCATAGCGAACATTTAAGCAGACAAAAGAATCAAACTCTTACCGCAGGACACATCCAGAGGAATTTTATTCTCACAATTTTCAAGATGGGAGTTGAGCTCCTCCTTGGGAATTCTATGGCGGGCATTATAGGGGCATGTTGCTAGTTTTTTAGCGATCTTCTCATTGTTCTAGGCAAAAAAGAAACCCAAGAAGTTGTTATAATGTAAAAATTATGGCTGTTTCAAGAATCCTGTCATCAGTGATACTTCAGAAAAGATGTATTTGAAATATAAAAGATGTAGCAGAAAATGAATTGTTAATCCATTTTTTTTAACCTGGAAGAGCTTCACAGTGCCATTAATACCTCAGGAATGGAAAATTAAGGGACTTCGCAATCTTTTGACACTTAACACAATTTTCTAAGGAACAATGGAATGTGGAACAAGATAATAGATCTTGGCAATAGTAAATTTCAAGATAAAAAACTCAATAGTTTAAGAAAAGAGTTTGAGTCAAGTCCCACAATTGACTGTTCCCAAAGGAAACTGTATGGGATCACTATGACAAGATCACAAAACAACACCAGTCTAAGTTTTCTGCTGTTTTGTTCATATATATTTTTTTCATCCACAAGTTACTGAATAACATTCTGCTTTGGAACCTGCAAAGCATTCTGTTGTAGGCAGTCCTGAGTTTTCAGGAAGTGGAATGATACAGAATAGGTCTTTTTTTGTGTGTTTTCATTTCAGGTCTGCTTTGTGTTTTCATTCCAAGAACTCATTTGGAATGAGTTTTGCTTTGACACGTTGACTACTTTAAGAAACATGAGAAGAGTTCACATTGAGGACAGTGCACCTGGTTTCGGAGTTGGAACTTTCTGTAATTAAATGTTCTGAATCCCTTTTATTTTTCAGTTTTGTCTAGCTTGGCTTTAAACGTCAGATGCATTTGCCTGCTACGGTTTCATTTTCTCCTTACCTCCTTGCACTTCACCAAGTGATAAGGGAAACGGCTGGCTCTGATCTGATGGTTTTTGTCATAGGGACACTGAACCAGCCGTTCTGGATCCATGAGAGACGTGGGAAGGCTGCTGCGTCGTTGTGCTCCTAAAGATGTTTAAAAATAAGAAAGGTACTAGAATTAGAAAGGTACTATTAAATAGCAAGATACACAGGTGCATATGCTAAGACTCAGTAGAAAGCATAGCAGATAAAAAAGAGACCCCTTTGATGCTAATATTATGTCCAAAACCATTCTAACCCTGAATATTATTTCTTAGATTCTAGAAATTTTAGAAACCATGAAACCATGTTGTTCAGCAGCCTATAACTTACCGTATTATGCTGTCCATTAAAAAAAAATACAGAGATGAACTCTTGGATTTAATACATTGTTTTTATTTCCACAGCTTATATTCATTTTATGCTCCATTCCATGTCAGCTTATAATTGTATACTTCTGTTTGCGCCTATAGAGAATGTGTCAATTTCTGATCTAAATATTCTATTTCCCGATCAGTTGAGAGAATATTACTTAATACAGAACAATCTATATATATTCCTCTTCTTGCACATTCTGACCATTGTTTAACTTTCTGTATGCAATGGCTGGCTTTAAACTTTTGCAATACATGATTGCCTAACTCTTGTTTTTAAATAAACCACAATTGGTTGGATGTGTACAATAAGTTAAGCCATAAACCAATCAAAATATGACATCATGGAATATGAATCCAGTTCCATATCATTTGGGCTTCTTTAAGACTGCTGGAACAATAAAACAATAAGAGATGCTGTTATTGCCTTAAGTTTCTAAGAGGAAAAAGTGAAATGTAAATAGCAGAACCATAGTGCGATTTTGTTAGCTTTGGTTTACATGTTATATCAACCATTCCATTTTCCATCTGGCCATTATTAAACAAACCATAATTTAGTATGATCTGTAAACCTGTTTGTACATACATGTAGAAGGCTAAAGTTAGATGTCTTGGGTAAAAGTTGAAAGTTACGGAAGAGTTTGCTAAAGTGGCATCTGGTGACCATTTTTCTGAATGAGGTTCCTGTTCTATGACAAGCTTTAAATAATTGAAGTCATGAAAGACCTACACTATGCCTTCAGAATTGAAATATCTTACACAAAAAACCAACCCCTTTGAGGTTTATTCACCGAGTATGATTAATACGTTAGCTTGCTGAAAGAGTTAGTAAACAGCATTTAGAAAGCTTTCAGTGTTCTGCAGGCTATAAGCTCTTCTGAAATTTGAATCACTTCTGAATAAACATAGAGGCATACGACTCCTGAGGGAATGAAATTTAGGAAAGTTCTGGATGCTTCAGTGATGCCAGGTTGTTGCTGCAGCCACATGATCCTCATTTTGAGCATTCAGTGACACTTTCAGGCGTTCACACAATTCCTCACTTTCTCCCCCCCACCCATTAGTAGCCAGTTGGCTACCTGCTGGGAAGGGAAAGGCCTTGTGCAACCTTCCTGGGCCATGCCACCCGCTTCCCTGACCCTTGTAGCTCCTCTTGCATATCCTATGAGCCCTCCCAGATCTAACCCCCATGAACTTTCCTTGACCTATGCACCCTCTGTGACCTGTAAGCACCTCTCACACATTCCATGACCCCACACACCCTTGACTGGCACTGCTCCCATACCCTACCCAACCTAGGCAGCACCACTTGCATACCTCTGTGCCCCCTTCCTGACCCACATCACTCACTTGCATAGCATCTCTTGTGCACCTTGTGCACCCTTCCTGATCCAAACAGTACCTCTTATGCACCCCCATATACCATTTTTGACCCTGGACATCCCCTCGCTCTCTTCCACCCGGCAGCACCCACTTACCTGCCTGCTGGCCTTGGACATGCAACTTAACTGCTAGCTTCCCCACTGACTTTCTCCCCACAGGCTTCCCACAAGCAAAGTTAATTAGGAAGCCAACTGGAATTCTATGGAGGGAAAGATAGAGGAAGGAAAAAAAGACAGTGGCTGAATAACAGGAAAGAGGGGAAAAAGGAAGGGAGGGAGGAACTGGAAGGAAGAATTTCCAACGCTCCCTGCCAGTTTCCCATAAGGTCAATGGGCAGGAAGACAGAAGCCACTTCCATTGGTTTTTTGCCCACCTGTGGTCATTTCTGGTTTCTCTGTTTAAGTAAGAAAATATCTCTGAAACGATCCAATGGGCTAGTATACTGCTAAAACTCTTGTTCCCACAACCTTCAACTGTGCATCATAGGGCAATAATGTTTTTAAAATCTGGGGCTTATGACTCTCGTAAGATTGAAATTTGGCAAAGTTTATCAAACACTCTGTGATAAAAAACTGACCATAAAACAGTTTATGACATAATACAAAATGTCGTAAAACATTTCCTATGCTGATGTTTGACTGTGTTCAGCTTGGGCTATTTTCAAGACAGACGCATTTCTGTATCTCAACTTTTCTAGTAAAGGCAATATATTAGATGATGTGTCATTGCTGAAGACATTGAGGAAGCTGCTAAGGAAATTATGATGACCCAACAGGGCATGGATTGTTTAGACTCTAATGATAGCTAAGCCTATTAATGGATGGTTTACAAATTGCACTGACATGGATTTTAAATAAGTTTGTTGAATAAACCATAATAGATTGGATTTATATATCATGCTAAACCATGTGATTTGTTTGGTCATATATTAATCCGACTATATGTATTATGTTAGGCTGTTTAGTGGTCAAAACTATTGGGATTGGTTCAGTTGGTTCATTTCTGGTTCATTAAATCAGAAATCAAAATATGGTTTATAGTGGCTTTCCTCACATAGCAAGCTAAACCATGTATGATATCAATTTAAATGGCATACAAATCAGTATTCTAAGTCTCAGATGTTTTGTTTGTTCCCTGAATCCTATATAAGTCAGAGTGAATTAGAATTTCCGATTTTCTTAAGCTACTTTTTAGGGGGGGGGGGAAGCTATGAATTTTCTTGACTATGTTTGCACAAATTGACTAATCTGCAGCTTTTTGGTTAATTAACCCTTACTCTGGGTTTACAATATATATCTAGCCAACTATATTTTTCATGAATTCTATAAATCAAATATAATTGTTTGGTTTACTGTGTTTTGGGGAAGTATATATTGTGATTTATAAACCATAATCGATACTTCAGTTTGAAGTATGAATTTAACAATGTTTAATTCAACTAAACATGGAGTTAAACAAATTTTATATTAGCAGAAGGTAAGCCACATCATGGCTTACAAAACACATTGGTTACAGTCTGAATTCTTTATTATGTTGTGCGAACACAGCCATTGGGTTTCTTCACAGATCCAACTCAAACTAGATGTACTTATTTTTCCATTCCATAATGTGTAGGGGTGTGTTATTTTATTGTGTTGTAGAAACACAATTTTGTTTTATTCAACAAACTGGCTTAGTACGATAGATGACTCCAGTCACAAACATTTACTGTATAATTAAATCAGTAACAAAAAACAAAAGACTTACCTTGCGTTCTTACTTTCCAGCTTATTCCTCAACAGACTGTTGGCTGAATTAAAAAAACAAAAAGCTAAGTTTTCACATGTGAAAAAGGGTATTTCATATTGCATCTTATTTATTCAATTTGCATCTCAAACCATCTCAAACCAGCAACACTCCAGCAGACAATCAAAACAATTAAGGCAAAACACACAACAAAAAATAAATTAAATTAACATATCAACCAAGAGATATTACTATTTGTTAGTGTCAACATAGCCAGGAAATGGGACCCTTCACCCACTTGCACTCCAGACCTGGGCACATAATCAGATCTTCAAGGTCTTCCAAAAGCCAATGAAGCTAATCTCAGAGAGACATGGCAGAAAAGGCATATCACCTGGTCCCCACCAGCCAAATTTCCTTGGCTGGCAAGAACCCACAGCATGCCTGTCCTGCAAGACCAGACTGAACAGGTAAAAACAAGTGGAAAAAGGTGTAACCAAATACACCCCCCCCCCACAAAGCAGCAGCCTTACCTATAACCAAATAACCAGCCTCCGTGGCTCAATGTTGCACCAGCTGAAGCTTATGAATACTCTTCAAGGACAGCCCTATTTTATAAAATAGCTGGCCATTAATGGGAACACCTGCCTTTCTCTCTGCTCATTTGCTCAAAGTGCTTCTGTTTAGCAGGGCAAAGAGTTAACACCTAAACAATTGCTAAATTCAAATGAACACAGGTTTCTCCTAGCAATTCAAATGTAGAGTGAACCAAAGGTAGGAAACTTTCTTGAAGAACTTTCTGACATCATTGTGTCCAAGGAAACCATTGTATTACAAAGGGTTGGGGGGATTAAAACTGCATTTACCCTCATATATATCCTTAAAAAATATGGATATTTCAAAAATCATATTAATATAAAGAAGTTTCTCAACTACAGAATAATAGTGGTAGTACAGAACTATTTAGATAGCATACTTGTTAATGGTCTTAATTAGTTCCTTTCTCACTAAATACTAACTACCTAATAATGTTGACTGGCTAATTTGTGGCTCAGTGGTCTAGTTAATGGTTCAGGGTTGAGCAAACCCAGGCAATTTAAGTAAGCCATGATCAACTAACCGTGGATTGGGTTGTTTTCCAAACACAACCACTAGCTTATTTCATGATTTGCTCTTCCCTCTAAATTTCATCTTCATTTTGACTCAAGGTTTGCCAAGAGTTAGTACTGTAGTCAAGCTAAAAGATCCAAAACGCTGGCTGTAGGGAACAAAGGTTTTTTTAATGCACCAGGAAGAGACTCATAGTTGGGAAAAGGAGCCCAGTTTGAAGAAAGGCAGGATACCTTGTTTGACGTGTACAGCAAGGATAACTTCCAAGCTAAGGTTGGCAGACATCCCACCTCAACTCTTTGCTGATTACTGGTTCTGGGTAAAATGGGCAGAGATAGTAAAGAGAGTACATCTGTTTAGAGTAATGTCAGAGCCATGAATTCATCTGTTTATTCATTAGTACAACTGGTATAACATAAGGACTTTTGTGCTCCTATGTGAAACCTCTTGTGGTAATCAAAAGGCCCCTGAAAAACCCTTTTAGGGCCAGTAGCCTTTTGGCAACTCTTATTCAGGTTAGGAGAAAAACCCATTATAGCAATTTGGGTTCCTAGTTTGCAGTTTCCATCTTACCTTGAACAGAAAGCCTCGGGCTTGAAATGGGGGAAAACTCTCTGCTTTTTCCCTATTATCTCTCTTTTGTAACTCTATACCTGAGGAAGAGTTCTAGTGAACTCGAAAGCTTGTACATTCTCTTGTGACCCTTAGGTTGTAGCTAATACAGATGGTTTGGTTCTGGCTAGTTGTGCCTATGAGTCAATTTTTGACTCCTGATGACTTCAAGACAATGTTGACGACTGTTGGCTACCTGGACTAGTCCTGCAGTTTTCTTGGTCAGCTTATCTCTCTTATACAGTTTAGTATTAGGTGTTTAGTTATTAGAGAAGCAATTTGCTATAATATAGTGGTTAAAAACAAGGAGCCATGGTTTCTTGTCCCACCTTAGGCACAAAGCCAGCTGGGTGACCTTGGGCCAGCCACTCATTCTCAGCTCTAGAAAGGAGGCATTGGCAAATCACTTCTGAAAAATATTGCCAAGAAAGCTTCAAGGACTAGACCAGGTAGTTGCTAGTTGTCGATCTTAACTTAAAGGCACAAAAAAGTCATCTAGATATGGACCACCAAGTGATTGTATTCCCATAATTCCGGTTACCTAAATACAGGAAGTCCTCGACTCACAACCACAACTGAGCCCAGAATTTAGGTTGCTAAGTGAGAAATTGGTTAAGCGAACTTTGCCCCATTTTACAACTTTTCTTGCCACATTTGTTAAGTGAATCACTGCAGTTGTTAAATTAGTAACAAGGTGGTTAAGTGGAATCTGGCTTGCCCCGTTTACTTTGCTTATCAGAAGGTTGCAGAAGGGACATTGCAATCGTCATAAATATGAACGAGTTGCCAAGCAGCCAGATGTAAATCACGCAACCGTGGGGATGCTGCAACGGTCATAAGAGTGAAAAAATGGTCCTAAGTCACTTTTTTCAGTGCTGTTGTAACTTTGAATGGTCACAAAGTGATCTGTTGTAAGTCGAGGACTACCTGTGTTTATTCATTCCACCCATGGGCATAGGGGATGGGTGTTCACGTGATATCCTCTGTACAGGGGATGGGTTCACAAGGCTAAAATGCAACTGACTAGACTGTGGTTCATTATGTCATATCATAGGAGCAGAACAGTATAAGTAACAAGCTGGGCAGAAGTGAAAGATGTTTAACCGCAGGAAAGGGTAGCAGTGTGGCTTTGCCTCAGAGCTGCTCTTCTCATTGAGTCGCCTGGTTACAGGAAGTCCCAGCCTCATAGGGGAAGCTACATAAGAGGAAGCGTTGCAGTGAAGTTTGCACGATAAGCTGAAAGCCCAAAGAGCAAGTTGTGCCACAGGAGTTGGGGCTGGGTGTGACCACTTTTGAATTGCTCCCCTCATCGGGCCTGCAAGCCCCACGGGGCGCTGCCAGTTCTGTGGGAAGATGTCCCTGTCTTCCGTGTACGAGCACAAATTTGCCGAGAAGCTGACAATTCTCAATGACAGGGGCAAAGGGGTGCTCATCCGTGTATATAACATCAAGAAGGTAGGTACTGAGTTGCCCCAGGAGACGTGGTTCTGCTCTTCTGACAAAGAGATTTCCAGCTGATCCTAACGAAGGAATATAGTAATGTCTGGGGGAGGTGTCTACGGTGTGGGTATGTGTATCTGATTAGAGCTTTCTCCTATTTTGTTCTTCTGGCTTACAGCAAAGGTGGGAGGCCCAATTAGCTGTAGAGAAGACCTCCTATTAAACTTGGTTTGAGGAAACTGGTGGGCTAGAGTAGATAGAGAAAAAATAGTGCAGCCTATAGCTACCACCCAGAAACTCTAGTTGAAAGAAAGATTAAGAAATGAATGGTTCTTATATAGCAATTATATGGAAGTCTGGATAAAGGCCTGTGAGCACTTTTTTTTAATTGAGCGATTCATAGGTAATGCTTTAGAAGAAAATTGAGAATCCAACCTTGATGATGTTTATAGTTCATTGTGTTTTGTATAGCACAAACCTAATCCTATAAATCATTGGTTAATCTGTTGCACATAGTTCTTATGCAGACAGTTTCTTCCTCCCTTTTTAGTATCTCTGCTCAGACTATGTTGGTTCAAAATCACATTGATAAAATGGTTTGCAGAGGTGAAGAACTATGGCCCCTTTATAACTTATGGACTTCAACTCCCAGAATTCCTGAGCCAGCATGGCTCACAGCCACAAGTCATAAAAGAGCCATAGTTCCCCACCCCTGATTTAGTGTTAGTGCTTATGTTTCTTTAACATAAAACATGGATTTATGGCTTTCTGTGTTAAATTAACATGAGTTTATGGCTATGTTAAATTATGGCTTAATGCAATGTGTGAACCTAGTTTGTGGTTTTAAAATGCTGCTTTTTCTGAGCTGTCTTTAATGCCTACACTCTATTGTGGTCTAATGTTTCCTCTATCTGGGCAGGGACTGTTTCTCGCTTATGCAGTGCTCAGTGTCAGAATTAAGACATTTTATTTAAATTTAAAAGCAGAGGATAGCATGCTAGGACTTCCAAATGTTTCATGCATGTCCCAAATTTCTTCAAAAGAACCTAAAAGCTTGACAGGGGATTTTCTATCTTAACAAATGTTTTGTGAGCTAAATTAGGGCAGTCTCCTCCCTCTCCAATATGATATCATCCAGATTCTGGAAGTTGTAGTTGCACATATCTGGTGGAGATAAGACTGTAGAAAGCTCCCTGAGAAAGGGAAAACTCATTTTGACTTCCATTATTGACTATATCAACCCTTCTCCTTGGATAGGTTGCCAAACCTGATAGGATAAATCTTTAAAATCAAGCAGTTTGACTATGGATATTTGGATCAAATGAGGATTTAAGCTAATATGCCTTTGGAAACACCAGTGCTCGAACTGCTAAGTACTATACCTTATTCTTAGCTGCTTTAACTAATAGTGATTGAAGAAGGCTTGAGAGGAAGGAAGGAGAAAGCAGCTTTAGAGTAATTCAGATCAACAGACAAGAAGCCAGCAGAAATAGCTGCTTCCTCTTCCTGTTTGGAACTGTTGGAGGGTGGGGCATCTTATGCAAATTAGATTGTGCACCAGTATTTATATTCCTCCCCACCCCCACTGCTGGCTACAGACCATATTTTGATAGCCATCATAATCTTTCCTTGTGGTATAGCAATTATCTCCCATTGTAATAAATGGCTATATATTAATACAGTTAAGAATTTTTTATATTTATATATGCTATTAGTCCTTGTTTCTGTTGAGAGTTTGCTATCTGATGATGGTAGATGAGTGTTGCTCAAAGTGTAATTTAAGGCCGATGCATCATCTCACTAGTGTCCTTTTGCAGCCTTCAAGGTGGGGAGGGCTTCTTTTCATTCTCTTTTTTTGTTTTTCTGTGATTTAGGGACCAAATCTCACTTTAAGACATCTTTTTTTTCCATTTAATTATTCCATTACCCTATTCCACTGAATTGTGGCCATGCAAAATCTAGTGCTGACTTTGAAACGAGAAATTATGCACTTTTGTGTTAGAAGGATCAGGATCACACATAAGTCCTTGTTGAGAAGATTTATTGCTCAAGCCTTACACAAAAATCTAGTCAACTAACATACAGTACTAAATTGGTGCCAGATAAGGGTCAACGGAATTCAAGAGGGGTTGAACCTGGACTGTTTGTGGGAACGTAGTGACTCTAGGCTGATGACTCACTTAACCCCACTCCTCCCGGCTCTGACAGCTCTTCTCCATCTGCTGTGGTTTAATATATTGTCATGTGGAGATGAAGAGACAGAAAGAATTTTAGGATGCTAGGAATCCAGTAAGGATCTAACTGGAGTTTCGTTTGTTTGTAGAAATGCCTATTGCTGATCTCCATTGATGTTCTGGTTGTAAATAAAACAACTAATAGACATTTTAAATCTCCATTGATCCCTCGCCTGGAGGGAAGTTAAGCCTAATAATGTGCTATTTCTGAAACATTTTTAATGCTTTTGAGGAGTGCGTAATAATGTCCCCTGTGACACATATGCTTTTACTGTTTGTTTGAACAACACATCTTAATAGAGGGGCCCCAGCTAGAGAAAAGCTGCATTTAGAGTACCACT